CTCTCAAAAAAGAAAAAAAAAAAACAAAAAAAACAATGAAATGCTACTCTCATCTGTAAGAATGGTAAAAATGAGGGAACCAGCAGTTAGCGTAATGGCTATGTCGCTGGACTCCCACGTAGTCGACTGTGGTTCGCATCCCGGACCCGGGGGCTTAAAACTCACGCCAGGAGCGTGTGCGTGCATGCCCAAGATCCTGAGAGGAGAATGGAGGAGAAGGGATTGCAGCGTTACCATCCCCTCTGGGGAGTGATTTCTCGCTTTCTGTCTCTATGTCTCTCTCTGTCTGTCAGGCGTGCGCATGTGCCCTATAGAGAAAACCTCTCCAAAAAAAATTAAAAAAAAAAAGAATGGTAAAAATGAAATGTCACATTAAGGGTGGGCATGATAAGGAAGAACCTTACCTCTTTACATGGCTGATAGAAATACAGAATGGTACAGAAACTCTGGGAAACATTTAGCAGCTTATTTTAAGGTGAAACATACATTTATGAAACATATAACCTAACTACTCAAGAGAGGTGGAAACACAGATCCACATAAAGACATTGATGCAAATATTCATAGAAGCTTTAGTAATAGTAATCTCAAACTGGAAGGACCTCAAATACCCATCAGCAGATGAATGGATAAACTAATTGTGGCATATCCGTACAATAGAGTATTACCTGCAGAAAAAAGGAATGAACCATGACCTATTGGTGCATTCAATATGGATACATTTCAGAAGCATTATGCTAAGTGAAAAAAGTCAGACATGAAAGTATACAAAGTATTATTTCATCTATGTGAAATTCTGGAGAAGGTGAAATGTGACAAAACCATATACTTTTTTTTTTTTTTCCAGAGAAGTTTTTGCTACAGAGTGTGTGTGCTCACCAGAAAGACAGAGAGAGACAGAAAGTGAGAAATCACCCCCCCGGGAGCATGGCCACGCCACAGTCTCTTCTCCTCCATTCTCCTCTTGGGATCTTGGGCATGCACGTACACGCACCTGGTGTGAGTTTAAGCCACTGGGTTCAGGACTCAAACCGCGGTTGACTATATAGGAGTCCAGCAACATAGCCTTTATGCCAACTGCTGGTCCCAACAAAACCATATACTTATGTGGTATTTTTCTTAAAAAAAAAAAAAATGAGTTGCAGTTCTTTGCCCAGTTGCCCAATCTATGTATCATAGTACTTAAAAGTATTTTAAAGATGTTTAGCATATGAACAATAAAAAATTTGCTTATAATCACCTGAATGAAGCAAATGACTAAGTTGAAATTTTGCTATTTTAGGTTAGTGAAATGTGACTGTAATGTACTGTGACATTTTGTTCTGGTGATTCCAGAAGGGCTCTGAGAAAACTTCTGGAAAACGAATTTTGAGAATGATCTCCTTAGCTGTTGCATGGCTGGGGATAAATGTATTATCGGTTTGACTTCAGTACTTTGAAGAATAAGATTTTGTTTTGCTTTTAGATTTTTGTCATTGGGCACATGCACTTGCTGGGAAGATACAGAGAAAGACAGAGAGAGGGGAAGTGAGAAATAACCCCTCAAGGGGGATGGCCATGGCAATCCCTTCTCTTCCATTCTAGCATGCATGCATACTTGCCTGGTGTGATTTGGGGCATGCATGCATATGTGCCTGGTGTGATTTTTCAAACTGTGTCCAGGACTCGAACCACAGTCAGTAATGTGGGAATACTCCAGTGCCTTAACTACATTTCTACCTGCTGGCCCCAGGATACAAATATCTTAAGAATTCTTCTTTTAAAAAAAGTAATTTAGTTTTCTTTTACGTCAGTCTTTTTTCTAACAGTAACTTTGAACATTCCTTGATAACAGTCAGTAATATTTGATTTTCAGGTAAAGAAGCCAGTTCAGGAATCCAGGGAGCCAATCCAGTGGCTGCAGAGCCTTCCTGAACATTAACTCAGGATGATCTGCAGTCTGGAAGCTCCACAGACAGGAGTTCCAAAAAGGACAAGAAATAATTCTTTAATAAACAGGGTTGTTTAAAATCTTCTGGGTTACCTTGGGGCAAATGTGAATTCTCCCTGGTTCAAGGGTCAGCCAGACTCTGTTGGCAAGAACATAGGAGAGAAGTTTCCAGCATCCATTAGGGTGATAGACTGATGTGAGCACCCTATGGACATGTGGCTGGAGCCGGGCTCTCCAGATGGCGGGTCCTGGAGGTGTCTTGAACCTCATGCAGGAGACTTCTTTCAGCCTTGGATCCTGTGGGTATTCAGGTGGTAAACCCTCTGTGATGTGCCATTTGAATTCAAATTTCGGGACCAGCAGTTAGCATAATGGCTACGTCGCTGGACTCCCACTTAGTCGACCGCGGTTTGAGTCCCAGACCCGGTGGCTTAAACTCACACTGGGCGCGTGTGCGTGCGTGCCCAAGATCCTGAGAGGAGAATGGAGGAGAGGGGATTGCAGCGTGGCCATCCCCCCTGGGGGTTGATTTCTCGCTTTCTGTCTCTCTGTCTCTCTCTGTCTCTCTGTCTGTCTGGTAAGCACATGCACCCTATAGCAAAAACCTCTCCAAAAATAAATAAATAAATAAAATTTAAAAAATGAACTCAAATTTCAAGGTCCTCTACTTTGTTGTTAAAAGCGTTAAATGGCTCCTTTCCATTCTGAAAGATGCCATCTTGCATGGGTTGAAAACAGCCCTGGGGATCATTTGCCATCCAGCAAATGGGCACATTTTGTTTGCCTTTGTGCCACCCAGTATCTTTTCCTGATTAACCGAGTTTTCTGGAAAAAGAAAATCAATTATTTTTAATTTGCCCTCATAAATGTTTTAAATGAAGAAGCTATTAAATCCGAATAATTTTAAAACATTTTAGAGTCAATGCTGAAGTCATGATTCTTTTTTCTAGAAGCACCTTATGGCTTAAAAATATATATTCAGCACTTAAAAGAGCTAACATGTTCTTCCAAATAGCTTGGCAGAAGATGAGAAAGAACCCCAGATGGTCGGTTTTGGCAGTGTCTGGGCCTCTGTGTTCAGGACATCATCTTTAAAATAGATGAAGATTTATTTCATAGTCAAGCCAAGAAGGTGAGCATCATTTTTGGAAGGGGGCATACTATTAATATATGTTTCCCTTCTTGGAAGTTGAGAACATGAACACAAATTCTTTTCACTGAATTAATCCCTCTTTTAGTCTTCCACTTATTCATTCAACAAATATTTAGTGAACACCAATATACATAGTTCAAAATGCACAGAGTAGTGGAGGTCAAAGGAAGGACAGGACATTTCATGTGAGCCGTTTGAGAGAGAGTGGTTTATATGAGCCATGCAGTCCTAAGGGAGGGGATCAGAGTGTTCTATGTGGCAGAAATGTCAAGGAGATTGAAGGGCAGTTATATTGGGTGATTAGAACATTGCTGTTGGCCTTCAAAAGAAGGAGTTTTGGGAGAGGATGGTACTGAAAGCCAGACTGGAGGAGTCAGAGGGCAGGTGCGTGGGGGAAATGAGATGGCTGTCGCTTGTTACAAAGGTTTGATAGTGAAGGGAGGAAAGTAAAACACAGACAGTGAGAATCTTTTTCCTCATTGAGAGAAATGTGCAATTTTGAGGGACCTGCAGATGGCTTAGTGATTACGTCACTGAACTCCCATGTAGTCGACCATGGTTCAAGTCCCTCATCCAGTGGCTTAAAACTCACACCAGGTGCGAGTGGGTGTGTGCACAAGATCCCAAGAAGAGAACGGATTGCAATGTGGCCATCCTCCCTGAGGGGTGATTTCTCACTTTCTGTCTCTCTGGTGAGCACACACACCCTATAGCAAAAATCGCTTTTAAAAAAAGAAAAGAAAGAAAGAAAGAATGTGCTATTTTAAAAGTAGAAGCAAATGGGTTATTGAAGGGGATAAAAACATTTGAAGGAAATCATTAAAGTTGTATTATCTCCAGGGGCCAGCATATAGTGTAATTGACATGTCACTGGACTTCCACATGGCTGCCCACGGTTCAAGTCCTGGTCCTGGCAGCTTGAAAATCACACAGGGCATGTGTGTGTGCATGCCTAAAATCCCGAGAGGAGAATGAAGGAGAAGGGATTGTGGCATGGCCATCCCCTCTGGGAGTGGGGGTGATTTCTTATGCTTTCTGTCTCTCCATCTCTCTCTGTCTCTCCAGTGAGCTCATGCGCCCTGTAACAAAAATCTCTCTATAAGAAAAAGAAATCGTAGCATCCCAGACAGCATAGTGTTAATATTTTTGATAAGAAAATGAGCTGACATAAAATATATTTTATAGAAGAGACAGAGTTAGAGAAAAAGTGAGAAAGTACCTCCTATGGGGCATTGTCACCTACAATCCCTTCTCCTCTATCTCTCCCTCCTTTCAGGATTTTGGGCATGCACGCACACATGCCCAGCATGTTTCTTAAGCGGCCTGATCCAAGGCTTGAACCACACAGTCTACCATGTGGGATCCAGCCACCATAACCAGCGGGCCACCAGTTGGCCCTAAACTCTGGTTCTTTACAGAATATTAATGTGTTATATCTTCTAGGAGTCATTTAATAGGAAGATTCGCTATCTTCTCAGTGGAACACTAAGGAATGCGAACCGAAGATAAGGGCTCTTGGCCTCTTGTTTCTCTCAGGCTTGTTGGGCTGGGTTTTCATCATCCACCATTTACATCAGATTGGGTAGAAAGGAGAGTCAGGTAACACCTTCAGTAGATGAAACTTCTGATTTCTGCGAAGCTTACTTCACTACCACACACTCACGTTTTCAGTATGCTCTGTCATTTAAGAGAGAGGACAGGTTTCATTACACACAATGACATGTAGTATGTAAGGGGTCATGGATGTGGCCAAAACACAGAGAAAACTTTGGTAAGTGTGCTTGTGTAACCCAGTTATACCATCTTTTCACTGTCTGAGACCAGCACGAGTGGCTCTCGCTCCCTCGGAATGGAATGTGTCGCCTAACGGAATTGTTCTCTGTCGCAGACCTCACGGTTGTCCCTTGTCCTCCTCAGGCACAGGTGTGTTTGCGGTGGTGAACAGCCGTTCCTTGTCCTTGCTGGGGAAGCTGACCATCAGTGCCGCCTTTAACATTGTTTACATCTACACCTCTGAGCTCTACCCCACGGTCATCAGGTACGTGTGTACACAGCCGCCGTTCTTCTGCCCACATCTGCATTTGGTTGTTCATGCTTACACACACGCAGGGGTGGTCCCCAGTGCTGCAGCTGAGCTCAGCGTGGGGCCAGCAGTGATAGACAAGCAGCTGAAAGCTCAGAACCTGTCCTTGCAGACTGTTCTTAGCCTGCTTGGCTAAAGAGAGTATAGCGTATTGGGAGCTGAATACCCTCATGTAAAATATTAGAGAAGGACCCTGAACACATCCCATCACCTGAACAGGGCTCAAATGCTGGTTTTTTTGGTTTGTTTGTTTACTTTTTTGCCATAGGGCCTATGCACTCTCTGGAGAGAGACAGAGTGACAAGGAAAGCAAGAAATTCTCCCCAGGGAGGATGGCCACACTGCAATCCCTTCTCCTGCATTCACCTCTCAAGATTTTGGGCCTGTGCAAACACACCACAACATAGTTTTCAGGCCGCTGAGTCTGGGACATGAACTGCACAGTTGGCCGTGTGAGATTCAGCTGCCCCAACCACCATGCCACCAGCCGGCCCCAGATACTGTTTTTGTTTTGGTAGATTTCACTCATTTAATCACTCATCCCATGTCAGGCACATGACACCATGGGAAAGTGTCACTGTTCTCACAGAGGCTGTGTTTTAGCACAAAACATACACATTTAAAAGAAACTACGTTCACATAGTAAAAAGTGAATTGGAGATTTAGATACTAGTGAAGGTAGTTCAACCAGTAGGGCGTGCTTATATTGAAGAGCAGATCTCATACTATTTCCCTCATAAATCTCAAAACAAGAAGCAAACCTACCTGTGAAGGATGAGAGTCCAGCGGAAGCTTTGAGACCCCACAACCAGCCCCTCTCTCAGTCTTTTTTTTTTTTTTTTTTGGAGAGATTTTCACTGTAGGGCGCGTGTGCTCGCCAGACAGACAGAGAGAGACATAGAGACAGAAAGCGAGAAATCACCCCCCAGGGGGGATGGTCACGCCGCAATCCCTTCTCCTCCATTCTCCTCTCGGGATCTTGGGCACGCACGCACACGCGCCCGGCATGAGTTTTAAGCCACCGGGTCTGGGACGCGAACCGCGGTCGACTACATGGGAGTCCAGCGACATAGCCATTACGCTAACTGCTGGTTCCCTCTCAGTCTTTTTGATGGTCATTTGAACGATGCTTCTCTTTCTCTTATCTGTGCAAGAAGCCCTGGGGTTCTTTCTGCCTCTTCATGTAAAATCCCGTTTTCCAGGAAGAGAGTAGATTGTCTGATCAGTTAGTCATTTACTAATTGTACATCGTGCTTTGTCTACTGATTCCAAAACTAAGGTGACCATTTGTGCAAACTGGGACTCTCTGGATAATGAATGTGGGTGTTAACATGTAGGCTGGGACCACCTTGGTCATGCCTACACTCTCCAGGAAGGTAATGCCCTTGGATTCCTGACACTGTGTGCCTAGTCAGTTCCTATTTATGTGACTGACCCTGTGACAGTTAACTAGTTGAGTTTAAATAAATGGGCAGACTCTACAGACCATAAAGCCCTGGCTCTCTGTGGCTGTTAACGACCAACTGGAGACCTAAGACACAAAACCCCATAAGAATGTTAGATAAGAAATATTCAAATACTCATCTCTGCATCACCCTCTATAGATGTGCCGTCCAGTGAGGCAGTGACTAACCCGTGTGTCTATTTAAATTGAAACCTATGTTCATTAAAACTGAAAACTTGGGGACCAGCAGTTGGCGTAATGGCTATGTCACTGGACTCCCATGTAATTGACCGTGGTTTGAGTCCTGGACCCGGTGGCTTAAACTCACACTGAGCACATGTATGTGCGTGCCCAAGATCCCGAGAGGAGAATGGAGGAGAAGGGATTGCGGCATGGCCATTGCCCCTACAGGGGTGATTTCTTGCTTTCTGTCTCTCTTTCTCTCTCTCTCTGGTGAGCACACTCATCCTATAGCAAAAACCTTAAAAAAAAAAAAAAAACCTGAAAAACTAGGGACCAACAGATGACATAATGGTTATGTCACTGGACTCCCATGTATTCACTGCGATTCGAGTTCTGGATCCAATGGCTTAAAACTCAGGCCATGTTCATGTGCGTTCATGCCCAAGATCCTGAGAGGATAATGAAAAGAAGGGATTATGGTGTGGCATCCCCCCTGGGGGGTGATTTCTGTCTTTCTGTCTCTCTGTCTCTAGTAAGCACACACACACGCACCCTATAGCAAAAATCTCTCTCAAAAAAAAATTTAAAAACTAAAAATTCAGTTCCTCATCTTCACCAGCCACCTGAGAAGCGCTCAGTAGCCACATGTGTCTAGTGGCTTCCGTTTTGGACAGTGTAATTATAGAGCATTCTCAGTATCACAGAAAGTTCTAGTAGGCAGCACTGCCCTGTCAGAGTCTATGCTTCTGCTTTGGGATATATTATTCTAGGCTCATCACCCCCACCTCCCAACCCAGGGTCTTTGAATCATCTTCCTAGAACTAATTGTTTTTAACTTTTTCTTGTGCCTTTCAGGAACGTTGGGCTTGGAACATGTTCCATGTTTTCCCGAGTTGGTGGGATTCTTGCTCCCTTCATCCCCTCTCTGGTTGGTTTGTACCTCCTGATTTTGTTTTTCTTGATTCTTGCCTTGGAAATGTTTGTGCTTTTGAGTAAAGAGAGGTAACAAACATATGTCCTGGAAGATCAGCTGATGCAAACGTGAACCTCGTGCCTCGTAGATAAGAATCTTGTACTCTGTCAGGGCAGATCAGGCTCTTAACAAGGATGCTTTTACCTCTGTGGGTCTGAGTTTTAGTTCGTCTGTATTCATTGAAGGGTCAGCTAATGCCATTGCGCCTTTTCCTGTCCCTGTGTCTAAGTTAATCAGTAAGTAAATATTACGCTTCTGCTGTATGCTGGGCTCCGTTCTGAGCACTTCATGTATATTATCACGTCTAATCCTCATGATAGCCATGTGTGGTAGGTGGTGTTGTTACTCCAGCATTAAAGATGAGAAATGCTACAAAAAGGGTTAAATACCTTCCCCAAAAGCATATCACTTAGAAAAGAAAATTAGATGAGAGGTATGCTTACTAATACATGCTAATGTTAATTTTTTTTTGACATTTTCTAAGTTTCATACTCAGAAGAAAGGGGCATAGACCAAATGACAGCCCTCAAATTCTTCTAGTCTTAAAATGCTCAGGTTCTGGGGCCAGCAGGTGGCATAATGGTTAAGGGCAGTAGACTCCCACATGGCTGATGGCAGTTCAAGTCCTAGACTTGGTGGCTTGCTTTCTCACTTTCTCTCTCTCTCTCTTTCACTCTGTCCCTCTCTGGTCAAATTTAAAAAAATAAGTAAACAAATAAATAAATTAAATTAAATTAAATAATTCTTAAAAAAATATTCAGGTTCTGTGGCAGAACCAGGAGGCCCCTGCACAAGTCTCTCCTCAGTCTGATCTGTGACTGTCCCAGCCGAGACTCACTGAAAAGTGACTAGATTTGGTGTGGGGCTTGTGAACTTGTTCTGCAGACAACTGCTCACTACCCAGGCTGTGTAACTAACTCACCAGTTCCTACTACAAGATGCCTATGAAATGCCATTGTGGCCCTTGCATTTTCCGAGTCTCAGCACTCTGCCTTTTTCTGAATGTCCTCTCCACGTCTCATGCTTACTTTTAGGTCCCAAGATGCTTCATATTAAGGACTCATGCTGGTTTCCGGCTTCACTCTGCGAAGAGTGTCTGACAGAGCTGTTTATTGTTGAGACGTCCCACTCGGTGCCTCTCCTAGAGCACCGTGGTACCGGCACTGTGTGCCTGTTGCTCCCTGCCAGGTTTAGAAGAGGGGAAAGATTTGTGTTCTCCTAGCCTCAGCCACACAGCCACAGTGCTGGACGTGTGTTTGCATGTCGGGAGCTAGCCGTGAGAGATTCTCTCTTCATCTTCCCCTTCCTTCACTGCTCTCCTCTCTCTCTCTCTTTTTAATTAAGAAATAATTTTGCACATACACTCACCAGAGAAAGAGGGAAAGTGAAAAAGCATGCTTAAGGAGGGATGGCCATACCACAATCCCTTCTCCTTATTCTCCTCTCTGGATTTTGGGCATGTACACACACACCTGGTGTGTCTTTCAAGCCTCTGGGTTTGGGATTGGAACTATGTAGTCACCCATGTGGGATCCAGCCAGCTTAAACACCATGCCATCAGCTGGCCCCATCTCTGCACTGTGGAAAAATTAGGAAATCCTAATCAGTAGGAGCTGCCCACAGAATCTGGAAGACCAAACCAGGAGACCATACAGCTTAGCACCTCCTGTGCAGTAACTCTAGAATGTTTATCAGCTTAGAACGGTTTCCATGCAGCAGCCTGAGAGCAACCATTTCTTATGCTGTCTCTGAACCCATTTGTATTGAAAGGAAATATTTAAATATCTCTAAAAATATTTTTAATCTCTGAAGTCATTGCTTAGATCACCAGCCCTTTACCATTTTCAATTTAAGTAGTTTATAAATCATAGATACGTGATACGGTTTTTCTTTTCAGAGTTTGTAAACCTTGAATCTCTGGGCCTCTCAGTTATGGTGTTAAGATATGTGGATGGCTTGGTTAATTCTAGGGTTGGGAACTTTAAAAAAAATCACCATTGGGCCAGTAAGTGGTGAGGAGATTAAGGCAGCTGGATCCTACATAGCCAACTTCAAGCCAGATCCAGAGGCTTGAAAAACACATTGGGCACGTGGGTGCGTGCTCAAAATCCCAAGAGGAGTGTGAAGAAGAGATTGGGGTCTAGCCATCTCCTCATTGGGGGTGATTTCTCACTCTCTCTCTCTCTCCAGTGAGCACACATGCCCTATAACAAAAAAAAAAAGAGCCACCATCAGCAAATATTTTGGAGTGTCTCTTATTTGAAGGGTGTGTGGGGTTCTCTGTGTTGTAAGCTAATTGCCTGCAATGAAAGCTGAACAGATTTCCTGTGACCTCTGGGCATGTGGGCCTGCCCTGCTCAGATACAACTCTGACCTCTTTTCCCAGGATGCCCACCGTGTGCATTAAAAAAACCACCTGCTCCTTCTGCCCCACATACCAGGGCTGTCTCTCAGTAGTTACTGACTCTTATCTCTACACACCTCAGGAATCCTTCTCCAGGGTAATCTGCCTTAGCCTGAGGCATAAAGGAGGGTCCTTTTGTTTCTGAGGACTCACACCCAGGATTTCCCAGGGCAATTCTCTATGAGGGAAACAAAAAAAAAAGTGGTTTACAGTGTAGTCATGGGGAAAGTGCAAATTAGGCAGTAAACAGGACAGTTCCTCTGTCACAGTCTGTGATGTCACCTGCTGAAGAGGCTGAGTTTCTGTTTGTTTCATTCCACTCCCTGCCCCCACAGAAGTACGTGCAGTGGTCTTTACCTTTCATTGTCTTCGGAGCCACAGGCCTGGCCTCGGGCCTCCTGAGTCTGTTATTGCCAGAAACTCTGAACAGCCCACTGCTGGAGACATTCTCCGACCTCCAGGTGTATTCCTACCGCAGACTGGGGGAGGAGGCCTTGTCTCTACAGGCCTTGGATGCCCCGCAGGTAAGGCCAGTGGTTTCTCCATAGTTTTATCTATGATGATAATGGTGGGGAAAAAAGATGTTCTGTTAAATGAAATCAAACCGAGGACAACTGCTAGAAAGCGAATGTGGACTCCTCTTCAGAGAAATAGAGGATCAGTGATTCGCTAGCTCCCTTAGAACACTGCAGGGGCTGTTTCTTGGGGAATCGATGTCCTAAACATACATTTGTCCGTTGCGTAGCTGGATGGTACTGTCGTTTAGAAATGTCAGGACATCACTTTATGGGCCTGCTCTCCTTTCCTGTTGCAGTCCGCAGACAAGGAGAGCAGCACGATGGGGAGCGAGAGTGAGGAAGAGGAAGAGTTTTACGACGCAGACGAAGAGACCCAGATGATCAAGTGAAGAGCCACAGTCCACCTTCAGAAGCAAAGGACCATCTTCTATGCCTGGCTAAGGCAGGTTGTCCCATGAACCAAGTCTAGAAAGACAGGCGTGGCTTGAGCCTACTTGGCATGGACTAGTGTTTTCAGGCCCAAAGGAAGTTGGAGAAGAGACGTTATGAAAGACAACACCAGAGTATTGAGGGAATAGTCATCCATTTGTCCAGAAACTGAAGTCCAGCTCAGAATCCTAACCTCTGGGCAGATAGCCCATTCCAGAGCAGTAGGCTGGTTTATTTCTAGGGGCTCGATGATGTTTTTTCTTCATCGTGGCCTAAAAGCAGGTTTGTAAGGTATCTCACCACTTAGGTGGAATAAGATGAGTTATCCTTAAGATGAATCTTGATGCCATATTCGACATCTGCCCTTAAAGAAACCTTCTGATGCAGGTTGTCTTAAGCATTTTAATTGTGTGCCCTCGGAAAGGCTCACAGAGGTCACCGTGAATTCTGAAGCCATCAGCCTTCCCTCTACAATGACCTTGAGCCCTCAGTGTGGTTCCCACCTCCTGGTACACTGGGCTCCTTGTTCCTTGGGTCCCACAGGTGATTCCCTAGTAAAGCCCACTGCACCAGAGCAGGTCCCTGAGTCAGAGACATAGCTGTGGCTTCTTGTCAGCTCCCTCTGGTGCTTTAGTTGTGTCATTTCTTCATTCTCTCTTCTGCACACCTCCAGAAGCATTGCCATCTAAGATTCCAGTGCCACAGTAACTTTAGGACCGTGTGCAGTAAATGATAAAGCTTTATCACTGCAGAGGCAGTTGAAAGTGACATGTTGAGCATTTGGATATATTTAAAAAAAAAAAAACACTTTCAGTTTTTAATAGGGAGAAATTAAAATGATCTTCCACCAGTTATTTATTTTGCTCTCAGTCCTCTGCATTGGGAGACTTGGACAGCCTTTATGAATTTGAACTCTTCTTGTCCTACGTCAGGTCCCACCTACTTAGTCAGAATTGGAACACACGGTAATTTCAAAGGAAATGATGGTTTTACAGTAAGTGCTACCAGTTTTCAAATACGTCAGAATCATACTTAGTTTCCCAAAATCATGTGCTGAAAGCGTGTTTCCCTGAGAAACCTAAACACTGGATCAAAGAGAAGTAGGAACCTCAAGTTGAGCAGCCTTGCTTTAGGTCACTTTCCCAACCGGGACAATGTCTGTGTTTTCAGAATTTCCATTTCTTCTAATTTTGTGAAGAAGAAATCGCACGCAGAGATGATGCCGTCATGAAAGCTTCTGGAAATCGCAGTGGCGTGATCTACACCTGGCTCCATGGGCTCTCCTGCCCCTTTCCACACTGAACTCTTGGTCTGCGCGGAACCAGCCTGCGCCATCGTATTTGTATTTAAGGGGTTTTGTGAATGTCGTCACGCCCTTTATTCTGTACTGAACTCTTCATAAACGGGGCCCATCTCTAGTACTTCTTGTTTCTCCCTGCTGTGCCCACAACACTGGCTGAGACATGGTAAGGACCCAATCAGTGTCACTGTTTCCAGCCGTGAGGGAGATGTGGAATTACTCCCAGCGTCATTTTTGCAAATCCACGCATATCTCACCCAGCCCCCATATTGTAGAGTCCTGCTGGCTTCCTCTGGGGAGTGGAGACCTGCTCACTGTTGGGAAGAGAGGAAGAACAGAACGAACGAACGTAGAGACTTGGGGAAGTTCTGTAACCGTCAGGCATTTAAAATAAAACAGTGACTTAACACGTCATTTTGGGTTGTGTGACTCTCTTGGCTTTATAAGAGTTAGTACATCTATTATAAAAAATGTGAAAAAATTTTATAAGCTAGAAGTTTATAGGATGTGTCACTCATAGGCCCATATATGGAGAGACAACTTACGGCTTCGTTCCATTTGAAGACCTACCAGGCAGCATTCTTTCTAGCACAGGGGCTCCCTCTGCCTCTGGCTAAGTGATGGAGGCTTCAGCTATGTCACTGGGTTTCTTCTTTTCTCAGGCACTGGGTGGGAGGAGGGAGCGGGGAAGCCACAGTTTTAATGTGTGTTGTTTAATAAGGCTGGTCTGGCTGGGCTGTCACCTGCTCGGGTCAGATGGGTCACTAAATTTAGGTTCTTTTTAGGCAGTCTAGTCAAGTTATTAGTTGCTGTTTTTTTATTTCCACTGCCTTTATAAAAACAAGATTAGTTTTCCTTTTTTTTTTTTTGAGAGGTTTTTGCTACAGGGTGCATGCGCTCACCAGAAAGATAGAGACAGAGATACAGAAAGCAAGAAGTCACCCCCCCAGGGCGGATGGCCATGCCACATTCCCTTCTCCCCCATTCTCCTCTCAGGATCTTGGGTATGCATGCTCACGCATCCAGTGTGAGTTTAAGCCACTGGGTCTGGGACTTGAAGCACGGTAGACTACATGGAAGTCCAGTGACATAGCCATTATGCCAACTGCTGGTCCCTTTCCTTTTGATAATAACTATTGAAGAATAGTGACTGTAGAGAATGTACACATTTGGGGACCAGCAATTGGCATAATGGCTATGTTGCTGAACTCCCATGTAGTCGACCGTGGTTCGCATCCTGGACCCGGTGGCTTAAAGCTCATGCCGGGCACGTGTGTGTGCATGCCCAAGATCCCAAGAGGAGAATGGAGGAGAAGGGATTGTGGCATGGCCATCCCCCCAGGGGGTGATTTCTTGCTTTCTGTCTCTCTGTCTCTCTCTGTCTGTCTGGCGAGCACACACGCCCTATAGCAAAAACTTCTCCCCCCAAAAAAGAAAAAAGAGAATGTACACGTTTGTACATTTGTGTTGGTTAAATTATTGGAAAAATTATTTTAATTGATAGGTAACATTTTGTTTGTGGAGATAATTTGTGAAAAAGGATCCTGTTTTAGTTTTTATTCTGTTCAAAATTAAATATCTTTTCTTCTAAAAAGCAGCAAGACAAGTTTAAGACACATAGGAATCCCCAGGGTTTCCAGGGTCAAAGGTCTTATTTACAGCTTGTCTAGAACCTTCTTTCCACACAGACATACTGAAAGAAACTGTACTACAGTTTCCTAATTTTGAGTTAAAAGCACAGCTCATTGAAAACCTAGAACTTGTCAATTTGGCTACTTTCAAGCAATATAACATTCTTTAATATTTGAAAATAAACAAGTCAAGGGACCAGCAGTTGGCATAATGGCTATGTCGCTGGACTCCCATGTAGTTGACCACGGTTCGAGCCCTGGACCCGGTGGCTTAAACTCATGCTGGGCGTGTGTGCATGTGTGCCCAAGATCTCAAGAGGAGAAAGAAGGAGAAGCAATTGTGACGTGGCCATCCCCCTGGGAGGTGATTCTTGCTTTCTGTCTCTCTGTTTCTCTCTGTCTTTCTGGTGAGCACCCTATAGCAAAAAACTCTCCAATAAATAAATAAATAAAAATAATAAAAAGAAAAGCAAGTCAATAAAATACAGCAAATAAATAAGAAAAGGAAAGCTTCTAGGAGAACCAGTTAAGTGAATATAATATAGAAAGATACTTTTATGCAAATTGTGATGCTACTTTTAGTAGATGATTGATATCCTTAAATACATATTGAAATACTTGTCAACTACTATGTCATAATTTAAAGAGTTTCCAATAAGACTTACTCCTCCTAAAAAAAAGTTCTTTTTTTCTCTAATTTGGTGGGGCACATATTTGTAAGAGAGAAGCACCGCCACAGGGTCTGGTTATGTCATAATCCCCTTCTTCCAGTCCTCCAGCCCAATGGATCCTGGGCACTTGCATGATATTCAAAGATGCATTTCAGGTGCACTGACCACAGATACAAACCCAGACACCGTGTGTGATCCAAAAATCCCTTGAGCAGTGCATTACTACTGAGCCATTGAGGAAGCCTACCTCCATGCAAATTCTTTTTTTTTATATAATTATTTATTTTATTTTATTTATTCATTCATTTATTTTTTAATTTGCCCAGAGGGAGACACACACACACACACAGAGAGAGAGAGAGGGGAGAAAGAGAGAGAGAGAGGAGAAAGAGAGAAAGAGAGAAGGAAAATGAGAAAGCAAGCCACCAGGTCCAGGGCTCGAACTGTGGTCAGCCATGTTGGAATATCCAGCACCTTAACCACCACACCACCTGCTGGTCCCCCTCCATACAAATTCTTGATATTCTTTAAGTTGAAAGGAAGCCCACTGATAGAGGTCATCCTCTGGAACTCACTCACTGTGCACAGCCGGAGGCATGCATCCTGGAGAGGCAAGAGGGCGATCCTCACCACTAGGAGGCACTGACAAGGTGGTGAATGTCTGTCACTACAGATGGTTAGGGCTTCAGAAGAAGGCTTCAGAATTGTTGATGTTAAGTTATTCTTGGTGGTGATATTACAAGTTGTTAGTGTTCATTCGTTTTTGTTTCTTAGAGCCACTTTTATTATTATAGGTGCATTTTATTATATATACAGGATGTTTACTTTTTTATTTGCTATTGCAGATGGCATGCGTCCACTTAATTGTGTAGCAGGAACAAATGATATGTATGTGGATGTAAAAGAAGAGGGACTGGAACTTGTTCACACTGCCTGCAGCTGGAGTGGGATCTGCCAGACAACCCCCTCTAATTCTTTTAGTGTGTACTGAAGAAAGACTAATAACCTGAGAATTATGTCAGAGACTACATCTTGCCACACTGAGGACCCTTTTTGAGGAAAGGATTGACTATGATCAGCAAATGCTTTCAAGTCTCATTCTCCCTGCCCCCGTTTTCTTGATAATACAAAGCAACAGAACAGTGACCTGAAATGAGTTGCTATATTCATAATAGGCTTGCCTCTAATGAAGCATAGTTATATTAGAAATCTTAATTCTGAAGTTTATAAGGAAGAAAATTGTCTAAGAGCAGCCGTTAATTTCAAATACGGTAATATTCATCTCAAATTATTTATTCTGATTACTTTCTCCATTATAGTTTCTAAATGGATACTATAACTGAGGAAGAGGAGAAGGAAGAGGAAGAGAATTTTGTGTTTATAAGAAAATTGGCTATAGAAAAGACTAGTGGTGGGACCAGCAGTTGGTGTAATGGCTATGTTGCTGGACTCCCATGTAGCCAACTGCGGTTTGAGTCCCAGGTCCGGTGGCTTAAACTCACACTGGGTGTGTGCATGCCCAAGATCCCGAGAGGAGAATGGAAGAGAAGGGATTGTGGCATGGCCATCCTCCCTGGGGGGTGGGTGATTTCTCACTTTCTGTCTCTCTGTCTCTCTCTCTTTCTGGTGAGCGCACGCGCCCTATAACAAAAAAACTTCTCCAAAAAAGAGAAAAGACTAGTGGTTAGGAAATATCAATCAAACCAACTTTTCCATAAAGTGTACATCCAGGGACTCTTTTAGTTTACCTAAGTGATAGAGCGCTGTATTAGTTTCCTACTGCTATTATACTAACTTGCCACAAACTCCGTGAACAGATTGACCCTATAACAATTCTGGAGGTCAGACTGTGAAATGAGTTTATAAAGCTAGAATAAACATGTCAGCAGGGTTGGTTTCTGCATCCTCTGGGGGAAATCTGCTCCTTGCCCCTTGCCCTTTGTAGCTCCTGGAGGCTGTGGCATTTTTCAGTCCTGGTCGCATCACTCCAGTCTCTGCTTCTGTCATCACACCCTTCAACTCACCTGAACTCCTGCCTAATCTCTTAGAATTGTGATTCTATCTGACTACCCAGCTAATTCAGGCCCAGCCTCCCACCATAAGATCCTTTATTTGTGAAATCTTTTTCGGAATTAAAAGGTAGCATTCACAGGTTCTGGGGAGTTAGACTGTGGATAGCTTGTTTTTGTAAGTTTGTTTTCTTCATGTGCAAGACAGACAGCACCACTGGCAGTGTCTTTTTTTTTTTTTTTAAGAATTATTTTATTTAACTTTATTTTAATTCGACCAGAGAGGGAGGAAGCAAGAGAGAGAGAGAAAGAGAGAGAGAGAGAAACTGAGAAAGCAAGCCGCCAGGCCATGTGGGAGTTCAGCACCTTTACCCACCACATCACCTGCTGGCCCTGAGACAGCACCACTGGCAATGTCTTGAAGCCACAGTCCACCACTGGCCTCGGTCAGCCCCAGACCAACAGGGATGTGTGTGCTTGGCTATACTCAGGGAAATCTCTGGATGCAGCCCCAGAATTTTCTCATTGGGTCAGCTTTGAAGGCTGTCATGTTTTCCTGTGGTATCACCATATGGCCCCAAGAATGTGGATAGTTTTGGAGCTGGCAGGTGTGGCGTGGTGGTTAAGTATGCTGGACTCCCACATGGCTGACTGCAGTTTGAGTCCTGGACGTAGTGGCTTTGTTTTTCTCTTTTCCCCTCTTTTTCTCTCTCTCCCCCTCTCTTTGTCTCTCTCTCACTCTGTCCATCTGTGGTCAAATTAAAATAAATAAAGTTAAATAAAATAATTCTAAAAAAAGAAAAAGAATGCAGATCATTTTGGGGAGGCCATTATTCAGCCTATCATGGGTGTCTTAAGATGTATCAGTTATGGATCCTAAGTACTCAAGATCCGGTGTAGTCGTCAGTGTCTATTGTAAGTTGACAATTATCTAGTCACCATCTGAAGAATCCCGACACAGATCATGGTAACAACCCCAAGTCCACATTTATTATTGATCTCATCCACCCATTTGACTGAGGCTGAGGTCTACCACTGAGATATATTGAGATATATCGTCACTTATTATTTGAAAGAATAGGATGCTTATAAAATA